CCCATTTTCTACTCTAGTCCCCAAGTAAACAGCACATATTTGGGAGAAATTACCATCAATTCATTTATGAATATTGCATGTGAGAGACCAAGAAGGAGAGGACTGTGAAAAAATGAAGTACTAGAAGGGAAGGGTTATCACCAATAATGGCATGGAAGCATTTATTTATGTATTAAGACAAGTACTGAGTTGATATCAAATACTCATGTGGAAGTAACTTACAACAAACCACCTATACAGAGGAAGGTTATATATGTAGAAACTATTCTATTCAAAAAACATAACTTTCATTCATTCAATCTTCATTTAATACTTACTATATGCAATGTACTTTTTTCTTAACCCTGGATTGGAAGGCATGTTTGGACAACCACATACCTCATTTGGGAAGCTCTTTTTTTTGTTGATCATAACTTCATATGAAGTCTGTGAGGACAAGAGGTCTGGATCAAGTTTAGTGGTGAGAGGATCAGAAGGAGATGGGTAAAAACACAAATGAGTATAATTATAGCAAGTCTATGATGTATGCTATGATTTCTGTGAAAATCAAATGCCATGAGAGCATGAGAGATAAGTATTTTAAGTATATATTTTTAATTGTGTGTGTGTGTGTGTGTGTGTTTGTGGTGTGCGTTTGTGTGTGCATCTAAGTGTAGGTTCCCACAAAGGTAGGACAAGATTGTCATATCCTTTGGAGCTGGAATTACAGGTTGTTGTGAGCCGCCAGATATGGAACTCAAACTCAGGTCCTCTATAAGAGCAAAAAGTGCTCTTAAGTACTGAGCTTTCTCTCCAGCTGAGACAAAAATTCGACATGGGGAGAGGGAGGAGAGAGAGACATAGAGAGGCAGAGAGAGAGAGAACTATGCTAGTATCTATTTGTTACTAGAATCACTGATTACATCTTCCAGGTGTGCTGGTGCACATTGTAATAACAGCACTAAGGAGGTGGAGTGATGCATCGTGAATTTAAAGCAGACCTGGGCTACAGAGCAACATCTTGTCTCAAAACAAAACAAAAGAAAATTATCAATAATATCTAAATGACAGTTAAAATCATGAGGGTAATTTTCTGAGGAAAGCTGAAGAGGGGAAAGTGAGAGAGGTGGTGGAGAAGGGGAAGAGGAAAGGAAGAAGGGAAGGAACCTGCTTTGGGGAGGGGCCACATTTGGTGGCAGAATGACAAATAGGAGATGGGAAAGGGGATCGGGAGTGTCTAGAGGAACAGCAGAAATCAAGCAATGCAAGCCACAGAGAGCAAAGTGAAGAAGCAGTTCGGAGAGGATCAGTCTCTCTGTGCTGCTTTGTTCCCTCTGGGAGGGTGGTAGAAGCTGGGGCTTCCACTGGGGACGTTGGGGAAGGTCTTTTCCTAGAGTAGCCACTGGGCGGCAGTGGCAGCAGCAGCTGCTGCAGCTGTGTCCAGGGACAAGCAGAAACCTGCTTAGACTTGTCAGGTGAAGTCTGGCAGATTATGCCAGGGAACCCCTCGAGTTAAACCAGCTTGAAATGGCAGAGCAGGAAGCTGGTTCATGCCAGATCTTTTCTAATGTGGCACTTCTCCCATGACTGGAGTCTGCAGAAATCTCAAGACACACTTCTCCTCCCTTAAAGAGGTCAGATTCATCCCTGGGAACAGGATAATGTGAAGGAAAATATTACAGACTTGCAGCACTTTATGTCTTAGAAGGGTTTGTATAGCTACTGATGAATTCATATTCTGATACCTATCATTTGGTACTACTATTCCCACTTTGCTGTTGAGGGAATTATCAGAAATAGGTGCCCAGGGTCATACAGATAATAAACAGAAGAAGAATTTGAATACAAGCTCACTTAGCTCCAAATACTTGGGTTTTTACGTGACATCCCAGCAGTCAGTAGTCCAGGACTCAGGTTATGCCTGATTCAGTCCTGAAACAGGACAGGGTTTCCACGTTCCACCCACATCCAGAATTGTAGGCCTTCCAAGAGATCCAGCTCCAGGATTTTAGAATCTCTTTTGCAGGCCTACCCTCTCCTTTCCTTTCCAGGATGCAGTTAGGTCACATTCTTGGGACCTGAGGATCAGGTTCCAAGTCTTCATTGCTTCCAAGCTCCATTTAAAGATTCTGCTCCAGCCTGCTCATCCCTCCCAACAAGTACGGCACACCTTACCCACAGCATCCTCCAGACCCAATTTATCTGGTATGCCAGAGACAGTGGTACTTATGAAGTCACATTAAGTTCCTGATGCCTTAGATCCACAGCTGCTGTCAACTGTTCTCTGGAAGTTTAGGCTTTTAATAATGGAAACTTGCTCTGCATGCCTTCTCTACTGTATTAAGACCAGGTTCTTCTAGAGTGATGGAGAGAGACAAGGTGTTGTGTAGGAAGGGGTGGGATGTGTAAGGGAAGTTATTGGCTAGCATCCGCAGGGAGATATGAACTGCTTCCTGGCCATCTGTTCTCACATGTGTTGTAGGCATCTTGAAACATATATGCTGGAAAATGAACTTCCCTTCTTTCCCCAAATGTGCATTCTTATAGCCTTCCCTGGGCCTGTTTATGGGAGTTCCCTTCTTCTAGATACCCAGGCAAGAAAACTAGAATTATTTTTTTACAGCGTCTTACTTAGTATGTGACACAGGCTGGCCTTGAACTTGGAGTAATCTTCCCAATCCCAACTACTGACATTACAGGCCTGTAATTGTAACCAGGCCTGGCTTGGAGTCACTTTTGACTTCTCTTTTCCTCTCATAGTTCACATCAGTGAATTTTGTCTCTATGTTCACATCACCTTTGTCACTCTGGTTCACACTGCTACCATCCACATTATCAGTAGCCTCTTTCTCTGCTACTAGCTCTGCTGTCTAGTCTTAGCACAGAACTCTCTGGAGAGCAGGTCAGACCATGGCACTTCTCTCCGAAGCCTCTGTGGCTTTCTTCCACTCAGTGAAGGCCTTACACTGGTTCACAAGAGCCTTCAAGACCTCATATTTTGTTTCCCTTCTGCAAAGTACCCGGTCTTTATTCAAGTCACTCCAATATTCAAAACAGCACATTCTTAATTATATCCTTCATTTTTCTCTATACCAATGATCATACTCTCTATATTTTATTAATTTATTATTACCTCCAATATTATGTAACTCCTATTGAGCTGATAGATTTAATTTTTTTTTTTGGTTTTTCGAGACAGGGTTTCTCTGTAGCTTTGGAGGCTGTCCTGGAACTCACTTTGTAGACCAGGCTGGCCTCGAACTCACAGAGATCCGCCTGCCTCTGCCTCCCGAGTGCTGGGATTAAAGGCGTGAGCCACCAACACCCAGGGATAGATTTAAATTTTTTAAAAAATTTTTATGTGCATTGGTGTTTTGCCTTCATGTATGTCTGGGTGAGGGTGCCGGGTCCTCTGGAACTGGATTTACAGAGATCTGTGAGCTGCCATTTGGGTGCTGGAAATTGAATCCAGATCCTCTGGAAGAGTAGTCAGTGCTCTTAACCACTGAGCCATCTCTTCAAGCTGTCAGGTTGTAATCTGTTTTGTTCACTTCTAGTGAACTACCAGGTCTTAGAACTGAAAGCTCCTGGGAAATATTTGTTGACCTTTTCCCAGAACTGATCCAGTAGCTTGGAGGATCAAGTTGTCATACTTGGGCTGGAGAAATGGCTCAGCAGTTAAGAGCAATGGCAGCTCTTCCAGAGGACCTGGGTTCAATTCCCAGCACCCACAGTGCAGCTCACAACTGTCTGTAACTCCAGTTCTAGGAGCTCTGACACCTTCACACGAATGCACATAACATAAATTTAAATAAACTAGTTTTTAAAAGTTATCATACTCATTAAGTCATAGATGTTAGAGTTTGGCCCATGTCAGGCTTGTTTGGGTTCAAATCTTGTTCTTGCCACAAATTATCAAAATACACAAACTGTATTTTAATTTTCTCATCAGTAAAGTAGGGGCAGTAATAGAACCTATTTGATAAAGAAACTGTGGAATTATCAATAGGTATAAAGTCCTTAGAACAGCGCCTAGCACAGAGAAAGGCCTAGACAAACATTTGCTATAATTAAATGCATACAGAGTAAAGATGGTTATCAGTAGTTTACATTTTCAGAAGTCCTTCAGTGAGTTGACTTGCTGTTATCCAGGTTAAAATTCATTTCCCATGTTTCTACACCCATAGACTTATATGATCTTCCTGTAATTTAATTATCTTTGGTGGCCTGGATCTTTATTTGTAAACTTGGATGTCTCCTTGTGTACACAATCATTTTCAAGCTGTTAAATAGTAATCTCACTGGGCCCCAGTTTCCCAATCTGTATGCTGAGTGGGTTGGACTAGATAACCACTGAGGGTTTTTCTAGCTCTGGCAATCTGCTGGGATGGGACAGGAGGAGAGATAGGCACCACCCAGAGTCCCACCCCCAAGAATAGGCCCTCTGGCTGCCAAGAGGAAGGGTGACAGAGTCAGCTGGGCTCAGCTTCAAGGGCACTGGGTAGGAGTCTTGCTAAGGTTCCTAGGCAAGGGTGGTGGTGGTGCTCTTGGGCTGGAAGCAGGTGTGAAGTGGGGTGGCTTCAGAGGGAAATAAGAGTACAGAGAACTAGGACCAGGGTGAGAGCAGAGGGAGAGAGGCCCTCATTACCAGGACAGAGCTGTGATGGTCAGTTAGGTGACAATTTGAGCCTGGGTATCTTCCCTTTAGACGGTGCTGGTCAGCCTCCACCCTCTTCAGCTAGACAGGCTCTGCAGGAGAGGAAGCTGCAGAACACCACTGACTGCCTACCAGAGTCCCAGCACTACCTGATGCCCATCGGTCCCTGGGCTGGACTAAGGAAGCTGGGTAGGAGCTGGGCTAAGGGCGCAGGGTAGAGGCTGGGTCAAGGGAGCTGGGCTGGACTAAGGAAGCTGGGTAGGGGCTGGGCAGGCCTGGGTTGCACTTGGATTTGCTCCTCCTAGGTCTCCTTGGTGCTTTTCCTCTTTTGTTGTACGTTTGTCAGGACGGGAAACTCTGGAAATCAGACGCTCACTTCTGTTCTTTCTACCTCTAGGGGACCATGACCAGCTCAGAATCCTTGCTATTCACATCTCTAGGCCCCAGTCAAAGTTCTGGAGATGGTGATTGCAAGTTTAATGAGGAGTTCAAGTTCATCTTGTTGCCTGTGAGCTACGCGGTTGTCTTTGTGCTGGGCCTAGCCTTCAATGCTCCGACCCTCTGGCTGTTCCTTTTCCGCCTTCGACCATGGGATGCAACGGCCACTTACATGTTCCATTTGGCATTGTCAGACACCTTGTATGTGCTGTCATTGCCCACCCTCGTCTACTACTATGCTGCCAGAAACCACTGGCCCTTTGGCACTGGCTTCTGCAAGTTTGTCCGCTTTCTCTTCTACTGGAACCTCTACTGCAGTGTCATTTTCCTCACCTGTATCAGTGTACACCGCTACCTCGGCATCTGCCACCCACTGCGGGCTCTACGCTGGGGCCGCCCTCAATTTGCAAGCCTTCTCTGTCTAGCTGTTTGGTTGGTGGTAGCTGGCTGCCTCGTGCCCAACTTGTTCTTTGTGACAACTAGCCCCAATGGACTCACCATTCTGTGTCATGACACCACTCGGCCTGAGGAATTTGACCACTACGTGCACTTCAGTTCAGCAGTTATGGTGCTGCTCTTTGGCTTGCCCTTCTTGGTCATCCTGGTCTGCTATGGACTCATGGCCCGGCGACTATATCGACCGTTGCCAGGAGCTGGGCAGTCATCATCTCGGCTCCGTTCCCTCCGCACCATTGCTGTCGTGCTGACTGTCTTCGCTGTCTGTTTCGTGCCTTTCCATATCACCCGCACGATTTATTACCTGGCAAGGCTGTTGAAAGCTGACTGTCGGGTGCTTAACATTGTCAATGTGGTGTACAAAGTGACCCGGCCCCTGGCCAGTGCTAATAGCTGTCTGGATCCTGTGCTTTATCTGTTCACTGGGGACAAGTATCGAAGCCAGCTCCAGCGGCTATGCAGAGGTAGCGGGCCCCAACGGCGAACAACTGCCTCCTCCCTGGCCTTGGTGACCCTACATGAGGAAAGCAGCATCAGGTGGGCAGACACCCACCAGGACATCATCTTCCCTACCTGTGGGGAGACAGATTATAACCCTAGGCACTGGGTATGAAAGGAAGGGGCTAACTGCAGGACAGAGGGAAGGGAGCCAGTTAGTGACACCTGATAAGGGCATCAGCTGCCTCTTTTTAGTCAACGTTTGGAGCAGTTACTCCTCTGGCCCTACTTCTTTCTCTTTTTCTGTCCCTTCCTGGACCACTGATCCTGTCTCTAGAGCCAGTAAGACTTCGTCAGTGCTCTTCACCCTCTCTGCTTCCCCAAGTCCTTTCACAGAATGCATTTCTCCAACCAGAGTAGACAATTCGACTAGAGGGGTGAAGGGTGGAGCAATCTCAAAACTGGCCTGATGTATATAATGGAGCAAGGCAGAAGGTGCTAGCATATCACAGTTGCCATATGTGCCATATCTATAGCATCCACACCCACTTCCTGGCTCCCTCTCAAAGATAAGCTAGTCTGACCTTCCAAGGGACTGAAATAGGGTCCAAGGCCACTGAACCTGCTTGCCAGGGCCCCACAAGCAGCTAGAAGCCTGGTGATGTTGAATTGCTGGGCAGCCATGAGGTTGAATACTGCTCTTGAGTGATGACCATGAGGAGCCTCAGGAGCAGGGTCTAGGTTGATAGCAACCTTGGAAAACAAGAGTGAGACTAGACCCACCTCTGTGACCGCGGAGAACATACTTGATAGCTCCCTTATGTTTTTGGTTTATTTTGGGGGGGGGGTTCGAGACAGGGTTTCCCTGTGACTTTGGAAGCTGTCCTGGAACTCGCTCTGTAGACCAGGCTCGAACTCACAGAAATCTACCTGCCTCTGCCTCCCGAGTGCTGGGATTAAAGGCGTGTGTCACCAATGCCCAGATCCCTTATGTTTAATGAAAGGAAGGGTGGGCAGCCCTGACTGAGAAAGAAGAAGACCTCTAGAGTCCATGGCTCCAAGATCAAGAACTGATGGGCAGAGCAGGTTTGTGCAAAGGATAGGGTGGTGACAGGAATAGACGCCCAGAACTGGCTCTTCCCCTCTCTCTAGCTCTAGTTAGATAAAGGATAAACCTGTCACCACCTCGTTCTGAATCAGGCTGTAGGATTTCAAAGCCGGGGTGGGGCACTCAGTTTTCCACCTGTTCAATCCTTTTGCCACAGCACTCAATGGGCTTGGAAGATCTGGTGGGTGTATGAAGCTGGGGGACTAAATCCTGGGCCTGAGAAGTCCAAGTTTCTGGGCAGCTCTCATAAGAAGGGAAATCTATTTTCAGCCTCTTTCCCTATGAAATCGCCTTAGTGGTTTCACCTACTGGTATTCTGAGTCAGCCCCCAGCCTTTGTTGACCTTTCGGATCTCTTACTCATCTACTAACACCAAATTCTTATTGGCTTCTAAGTGTTCTCTCTGTCTCTGGAGAGTAGGGGAGGGAGGAGCTAGGCTGCAGAGTAAAACAATCTTAATGCCTCTCTGCCCTCCTTTTCATTCTTTAAAGGAATCTCTCTCCCTCAGAACATAAGAATTCTTCTATTAGGAGTAAATTAACTGACCTTTAGGATTCTTGCCAGGTTCCCACTCTTATGACCACAGCCCCTTTGCCTGCCACCTCTCCTTCCTATCAGCTCTACACAATAAGATTATCCTCTTAATTATAACTCATTCAAGCTCCTCCATTGTCAGGCCCCGTAACTGCAAGCTGCTTAGGCAAGCCTAACTTCTTGGACTTTACAGTCTGCTACTTTAATCCCCCCATCCCCAGGATATCACTGTGTACGTCTATCTAGCCTAGAACTAGCTACAGAGACATAGATAGCCTTGGACTCAGAGATCCACCTACCTTTTTGCTTCTTGAGTGCTGGGATTAAAGACATATGCCACCAGATTGGGTTAATACCTCAACTTCTCTATGCTTCATTCACAATCTGCTTAGATGTCTCATTTTGTCTTTATCCCTTCCTTCCTCCTGGTCCCTGATTGAAGGACCTTGTTCTTTCTGTCTCTTCATCTTAGTCAGTTACTTCCATCATTGATTTTATACTTTACGCTGATTTTATATCTTAAAAAAAAGACATGAGCACTCATGCCTTAACCTTGCTGTCTCTATTCATTTCAGCACTGCATTTCCTGGAAGAGTGTTATACACCCCACTTACTCACGGAACTTCGCCAAACTCTCCAAATTGGATTTCCTCCCACTCTCCTGCTCTTAGAACACAAATTATGTCTTTGACAAAACTTTAATGATATTTTTCCTACTTTTATCCCTCTTTGACCTCTCTACTTCACTTGACTCTATTGTATGTCTTTTATAGTTTTTAATACAAAGTAACATTTAAAAATGTGACTGTCACAACACTGAAGGAAATGTGGAGAGAAAAGATTCACCTATTTCAAACCCATATTTTCATTTTCCATACTTCATGTTTTCTTGGTTTGTATTCCTGTATGATAGAATTCTAACCACAGTGTATAACAGTCTGCTTTTTAGGGTATTTAGGGTATGGTGATGTATGCCTATAATCCCAAGAGTTGGTAGTAGAGGCAAGAGGGTCATAAGTTCAAAGTCAGCCTAGGCTACATAGTGAGACCCTGTCTCCTTTCTCCATGTTGATGCAGTCTTCCACATTTATTATTTCAATAGCAATATAAAATTACTTTCATTGGTAGATTATATCTTATTAGGCTATCCTATGATTATTGAACATTTAGATAGCTCCGTTTTTCTGTGCTTTGAATATCTTCCCATTTGTGGCTTTTTTTTTCTTTGCAGTTCTATCTCTAGTACAAGTTCTCAGGAATAAGATTACCAGACCAAAGAGCATGAACATTTTTATGGATTGTGATTTTTCAAAATGACTGCATAAATTTTTACTGTCACAATGATATATGACTATCCTAGTTTCATTGCAGTTCCAGCATCAGACTTTATAGGAAATCTTTCTGGATGGTAAACATTCAATTTGTTAATTTCACTTCTTTGCTTACTTATGGCATTGAACACTTTCTCTTGTGTTTACTGTTTGCATTATTCTGCAACTACTATCTTGGTGGTGTACTGCTATTGAAATATGATATTTATTTAACATGCATATTATCATTGGTTATATTTGACACTTTAACCCATTATTATTATACTTTATTTCCATATTTCATTCACTAGATTTAGAATCTCTTTCCTCCTGCTTGTCCTTGGTTACTTCTCTCTTTGCTGTCATCTTTTTGTCAGACTCTCGACGTGTGGTTATTCAATCCTCCCTTTTATCAGGTTGTTGATTTCCTCTCAGAGACAACAAATAGCAGGTGCCTATGATTTAGTTAACATGTAGTCCTTAAGAATACCTCCGAGGTCATACAGGGATTGGGTTCCCCTACATTTTCCAGTCGAAGAGACAGATCCAGTGAGATGTCATGTCTGTGACTGGTTTCCCATGTCTCTTTTCACTCTACCATGCCAACTTGTTGCTAGGCCAGACCTTTGTCCTTCTAAACCTCAATTGCCTGCTGGATACGTTCCCTTAGATTTTCCATTGTTGCTTCTAACCCATAATATAAAAAACGAAACTGCCTGAACCAGTTATCTTACTCATCTTGCTCATTTCTATTCATGACATATTTCTTAAATTACCTAGACTCTAAAGCTTCTGGGAAACTCCACTCTTTTCTCTTCCTATTTCTCTAAATTCTGACATTGCTTTTTTGCCAGTTGTAATTGGCTCTTTTTTATGGTCCCAATGTTACCATTCTACTACTGACTCTTTTCCATCTTCTCCATGACTGAATGTCATAGGTTTCTGACTAGTCTTTACTTCCAGGCTCCTTCCACACAAATACACATTGTCAGATCAATCTGTCCAACACTTTTCTCAATGTTTCACTCTTTTAGAAATCTTTGATGATTTTTTTTTGTCTACAAGTCAAAAGACTTTAGGCAGAAATTAAAAAAAAAAGGTTTTATCAATTTTCTATTCTCCCTCAATACAAATGTCTCTTCTTTAGGATTTTAGGTTTTTTTGTTTGTTTGTTTGCTGTGTGTGTGTGTGGTGCTTGGGACAGAGCCCATGGACTTCCACTTATACTATTGAGCTACATTTCTAGACTTCTCTAGGTAAGTAAGTCTCTTTCTTCTCTCTCTGGACAGTACTTGCACTTTCTTAACTCTGTACTTTCATTGTTTCTGTCCTCTATATTGAAATACCACTCCCAGATTGTCCTTTTGGAGAACCATCTTTCCAAGGGCCAGGCTTAGGTCTCACATATTTCTGAGACTTTCTCTGTTGATTCTTACCAACAGTGATCTTCCTGGTGTTTTATTCTATAATTACTGCCCATATCATTCAGTTAGCACCTTTAACATTTCTTGACATTATGGACACTAATTTTGAATTGTCAGTCAATTCGTCTTGCATGCTTGCCTTGTGTGTCCCACCTACAAACCTCTCAAGTTAATGTAATATAATGGAAAGAATACAGGGTTGAAGACCAGAACATCCAAGTCTGAGCCTTGAATCTGAAAATGGGACGCTAGTGTGTCACCTTGGATGAGTCATTCTAATTATTTGAGCCATAATTTCATCATCTATGAAATGAAGATCATAATCTCAGCTTTATGTAATTTTTCAGGTTACAGTGAGGCTGTGCAAAGCTAAAGTGCTACGCAAATATAAGGAGTTGTTATCATGTCATTTTATTTGTTTAATAAATGGTGCTTAATAAATATTTAACATAGGATTACATGTTAGCAATTCAGTCTGTTGTGTTTTCCTGGGTACTGTCCACTTTAAGATGCTTCCATGAGGGTCTGGAGAGATGGCTCAGCGGTTAAGAACACTCAGTGTTCTTCCAGAGGTCCTGAGTTCAATTCCTGTCAACCACAAGGTGGCTCACAACCACCTTGAATGAGATCTGGTGCCCTCTGCTGGCATGCAGGCAGAGGACTGCATACATAATAAAATAATTTTAAAAAGATGCTTCCATGAATTTCAAGGAATTAACGAGCTAAAGGAACTTCAGGAACAAGCATTTAAAAAATGTTTGAGGGGAAGTAGCCTATCCTGAATCTTTCATATTTTGCTGGGTAGGTTCCTTGGCCTGTATATATAGCTAACCTGGATGAGAGAAGAGGTGGAAAAGCTGAACTTTTCCTTTTCCTACATTATATCCTTCATCCTGTTATTTCTAGCTCACTAGGCCAAGTTGTTCTCTTTGAGCTTCCATTTGCTCATTGCTAAAAGGATAGGAATACCTAGTTGACGGGGCTGAGATGAAGAATCCATGCAGTAATGAATGAAGAAACATCATTTACAGTTCCTGTTGGTGAGACCCCTCTTCAATAGCTTTCAACTTAAACAAAACCAAATGAACAGGCTAAGTTCTAGGTCTGCCTAGAAGTGATAGTTGAGATCATGACAATATTAACCCTTGTAAGAGCCAGCAGGCAAGCAGATCAAGCTTCTGGCATCAAGGGAGAAGGGAGTTTTAAAAACAGAGATTTATAACCAATTTTAAAAACATTTGAATTAAAAAGATTAAGAAAATAAACAGGGCAGGGTGGTGGTGGCACGTGCCTATAATCCTGGCACGTGGCACGTGCCTATAATCCTGGCACTTGGGAGGCAGAGGCAGCCTGGTCTACAAGAGTGAGTTCCAGGACGGCCTCCCAAGCCACAGAGAAGCCCTGTCTCGAAACAACCCACCCCCCCAAAAGAAAATAAAAAGGTGTGTCAAGGGCCCA